AACAGATTAGATTCGATACTACGAATCATACAGTTAGAAATTTTAGTTTATTATTACTTCCTCCTTGTCCAAGTAGTCAGTCTTTATAATACCGACCTATACATGCTTGCCAGTAGTACCACTCAACAATGAATCAGACACGAAATTATTAAGGACGACTTCGACCAAGTTCCAATTAACTTAATCAAAGAGTACACTGAGAAAAATGTCCGATTAAATATAATCGGATAATCCAATTACATAATAACAAACGGATATATCCAATTAAATTGTATAACCGATGAAAAATATGATTGGTTTTTCAATCAAATGTTATCGATGACCGCATTTCATCGGATAAATTTCATCGAATGTATCCATAATTTAATCGGAAAACGTAATCGGAAAAATTAACCATCGGAAACACTATTTAATTGGTTTATCCGATGGAAATTTTTCTCAGTGTATTAATATTTAAACTATTTTGTTAATAGAAATAGAATCATGAATGTTACGCTGTTTATTGTATGGAAAATAAAACTAGATTAGATGCAACAAACTATATACATATGTAGATTGAGAGGGAAAGAGAGAAAAGAGAAATTTTCATACAATTCTGTCAGTCAAATTAGTTATGAATTAAGTTAATCGGAGCTTGGTTAAAGTCGCTCTGATTTCAGTTTAACTTCTATTGTGCATATAAATTTGATAATTATCTGATCAAAAACCGATTTTCAACTAAACATTTCGTTAATCACAACACTTAAATATTTCCTCGCATTATACAGTTAATTACTGAAACATTCATTCAAATTATTAAAAATAATGGAAATTAAAGTGACTTATTTATTGTTAAGCGTGTACGTATGTGTATGTATATATTAAAATATTTAATAAATTAATAAATATTCAACATTAAGACAACTAAGAATCATTAAATTCGATATATTTGCATATAAATTTTTATTTGAAGCGAAACATTATCTTCTTTTCTCTTTACCGCTTGTAATCGATTCAGACTCTATTTTTTAACGCAACAAAGATAAGTCCCTAGAGAAATTTGATTTATTCCAAGATAACACATTCTTTCCCTATATTATATAATTTATAATACTCTGGTGAGACCACAGAAATTTGTGTTGCAAAATAAAAAGTTCTATTAACTTGTACTATTCTATACAAACAAATGTCATTTTAATTTAATTAATTAGTTAATAATATTTTTCGTTTTGCTTTCGCATTAAGAGAATTTAATAAGGGTTTTGATTTATTTCTATAATTATACTCATTTCATAGTAAAATTTCACAAGATGATAATGAATAAATCTTGTTTCTTTGCCATCTGTGTCAAACATTTATACGATACATATATAATATTGTTATCTACTATACTTTGAGATAATCATAAAATTTAAATAACCCTAGAAAAATTACATGTTCCACAATTATTTGAATTAATAAACAAGACGAATATTGATTATAGATTATATCGCGTCAAATCCGCCTGTATATTACATGCCATAATTAAACTTCACTGTACATTGTGAGCAATAATATATTTGTTAAGTTCATATTTTATAAGAAGTAGATTTGCAGATTAAGGCGAGAGACGCTCGCATTTATACTGAAATTAATGCAGAGAATGTGTTGTGAATAAAGTCCAGGTTATTACCGTAAGTACTAAGATATTGTGTTTGCAACATATTATTTCTCCCGTTGAGAGAGAATTGTATATACATATAATTATATGTATAAATTGCGAAACATAATTAAATTATTAACATTATCTCAACAGAACGAAAGAAATGAGAGTTAAAATTCACTTTGGAGAGATTCTAACAAATTAATATTATGAATTTTGTACTATTTACATTATACACTATTATATTTATAATTTGACTGTAAAATATGTTGGCGACATATAATATTTACGCAATACTCATAATTGATATTACATTTTACGTATCAAAATTTCTATTTTCTTCCACATTTCCCTTATATTTAATATCAAATATAATTATTCGATTCCTAGCTCGTCCTAATATCGTAATGTATGCATTGTCCTCTCTCTTTTTTCGTTTCAATTAATATAAAGGAATTAAAATATAACACGCTATTTTTCTGCTAACTTCTCTTTCTTCTCTTATACATATATTGTGGTGCTTTAAGATTTTAAATGAAGATTTTTTAACGCGTTTCCACACTCAGGCCAAAGAGATCAAGACTGAACGGCCGTCATGCTGGTCATTTAGCGAGTTCCGAAAATGGCGTTGATTCGCAACGCCATCGTATCAATTTTATCGTGGACATAGGAACTACGTAGTCACAACCACGTTTCGAGATGGTATCACAGATTAATAGATAGATCGCCAAAAGCTCGGGTCAAAGTGGGTCAAAGCGAGACCAGCATTTCCGTGCTTTCATTACCGACGCACCTAGGTGCGAATCCAGACTAAACGCGCCCGATTTTATCGACAGACCTTGCCGAGGGCATTTCGTGCGAGATGTGTATAATAGAATTAAAGGTTCAACGTAGGGCCAAAACTTCGACTCGGGCTACTAAGGCCACTAATGCCAATGGGCATTGCTTTATCTTATTATCTCATTTTATCTCATTTTATCTTATCTTATCTTATAATGCCTCAGCAAGGCCTGATGTCCAAAAAATGCCCAGTAATGCCCAGTAATACCCAGTAAATCTGCACACCACAATGCCCTCAGCGGGTTTACTCCTCAAAGTTAACGCAAGACAAATGCAGGAAATAATTGTACTCACCAGAGGGTTGCTCCGTCGTCGCCCGATGCCTTCCAGGCCGCCGCTTCCTCTCAGATTCCTCCATGTCGCACTGGCAATCGGCACACCACGGCACTCGCGAAAGAGAAGCCAATTACGTCGGAGCAACGCGCGACACGGCACACCCGGTGTTAATCGACGCGGGCTCACAACGGGAAAACGAGATGCAATCGCGCGCGGGAACGCAAGCCGCCACGATGGCGTCGCGCGAAACGGCGGGAACGTAGACTCGGAGATACGCGAGGCTTGACGCGTCGTCTCGTAACCGCACGCGATCTCGCGCCAACGTTTCTCTCGGAAGAAACTCGCGTGTTCTGCGCGCGCGAGGAGACGCGAGTTAAAACTGAGGCTCGATATACCGGCGGCTGCCGCGAGGATCCGGCTGCGCCGGAGATCCCGGCCCGAGGTCTCTCGCGAGACCTACGCGTCCCGGTGGATCGCCGACGCGCGAGCGTCGAGTAATCTACGCGGCGATCGTTCAACTCGATCGGCGTCACAACTCACCGCCGTCGTGGAAAGCGTCGGCGCGGGAGACGCCGGTCCGCTGCGTGGTCCGCGACGCTCCGCGATGCTTCTCGAACTGGCCAACATGGCACCGGTACCCGGCGTTACTCCGCGCGGCACTACGCGAGTCGAGTCGGCGACGCTACTCGAATATATCACTTGGCTGTCGCTCGCGCAATGCATCTCAAATACGCGTACGCTTAAAGTTCACACGTCTGTCGATCAACGACCGACAAGCTCGCGGCTTTCTTCTGTTCAAGTTGCATCGGAGGAGTAGCGAGCGCGTACGGTAGACGACGATCCGACGATCCGCTTCCTGTACGTCGAGAAGTGCGCGCTCCGAGAAACGAAGACGACGCCGGTCACACACTCGCGCGCGCACACACACACACACACACACCGTCCCGTGCTGTTCGCACGGCAGTTCGAACGACAATGCGACGCACGTCTGACCTCGGAGCGTCTCGCCGCTTGTTTGTCTCGAGCCGCCGTGACTCGCCGCTGTTTTTGTCTCGAGCCGCCGCGACCGCTGCGCGCCAAAGTCAAAGGACGTTTCGTGCGTCACGCTGTCGCTCGAGCCGCCGGCACGGGCGGCACGTACGCCACGGGGCCACGTGCACGATCAATTCCCCGTGCAATTAAACGACTCCACGGCCACACGATCGAGCTTTTCGATTCCGCGGTTATGCGTGGTCTACAATGCGAGTCGCAGAGACGTAGTCGTAAGAATAATCGACTGCGATCGGTCAATTTCGTCAGACACATAAGAATTGACCAATCATAGTCGACTATTCTTACGACTTCTATGTAGACGAGGCTTCAGGTTTCTCTCTGCCATTAAAGCCTCCGCTACAATGATTCTCGGTTCTGTCTACAATGGTCGTAGTCGTAGTCGCTCGATAAGAATTGACCAATCGCAGTCGATTATTCTTACGACTACGACCATTGTAGACAGAACCGAGAATCATTGTAGCGGAGGCTTTAAGCCTTTTTAAATTGAATTTTGACCAATTATTATTTTTTTATTATTTTGTTTTTTGAATTAAATTGAAATTTGACCAATTGGAGCAAAAGTTACTAAACTTGAGTATTAGTAAACTTTACTGCGATTGGTCAAATTTCAATTTAATCCCAATCTCAATCCGTAATCTGGTACGCGCTTCCGAGGCTCGATTCTTGAATTTATTCGAAAGAGAGAAACGTATGCGAAAATTCTGCTTGCAAGTTGATTGGCTATTCGCGTGGCTTTTAACCAATCGACTTTCAACTTTTCTGTCAGAGCAGAATTTTCGTATACGTTTCTTCTTCGAATTAAAGCCCTGCAGACGATGCTATTTTTCCTGCTGGATTGCTTGTAATCTAATAAATTACTATCGTTGCACCATTCAGCACTCAGGATTCCTTAGCAATTTAGTAAATCGCAAGCAATCCAGCAGGAAAAATAGCATCGTCTGCAGCGGGCTTAATTCAAGAATCGGGCTCCAGGGACTCGATTCTTGAATTTGTTCGAAGGAGAAACGTATGCGAAAATTCTGCTCTTACAGAAAAGTTGAAAGCCGATTGGTTAAAGCCATGCGAATAGCCAATCGACTTTCAACTTTTCTGTCAGAGCAGAATTTTCGTATACGTTTCTTCTTCGAATGAATTCAAGAATCGGGGCCCTGATCGATCTGCATCCCTCTGCAATACGCGGCGTGTCGCGCCTATGAATACGCGCCTATATGCGGGCTCGATGTTTTCCGAACGGTATTGACAGCAGGAATGGCGAGCGCGTCTCCCAGGTCTGCGGGAATGACTAAGCATATTTATCGGGAAAACGCAAAAGACAGGGGGATTCGAGCGTTTTCGAGGCTATTTAGTTCTCGGGCGTGAAAAACCACCCGCTCGGGAATAGCCATGGATGGAAAGAGATCGATTAAAATGGTATGTTTACGTAGCCTATCGCGCGTCACCCAGCGTCCGCCTCTTTCCCGATACCTCGCGTACGCGAACATTTCAGCAGCGTAATCGAGTCATGCGTCTAAGTTTCCGTCGTTTAACGTGAATGCCGTATAATTTATCAGATGAGCGAACGCACCATTTCGTGTTGACGTCCTCCACAAGAACGTTGAGTAGTCATTAAGTATTGCCTGTTGACATAGGATCCGCTATCACCTGGCCCATGTTTAGACATCAGCGACGACGAGCTCGTCTCCATATCGGTGCGGGACTTGAACAGGCAGTTGAAGCTACGCGGGCTGTCCAGGGAGGAGATTGTGCGCATGAAGCAGCGAAGGCGCACCCTGAAGAACAGAGGGTACGCGGCTAGCTGCCGCATAAAGCGCATCGAGCAGAAGGACGAGTTGGAGTCCGAGAAGTCCCAGGAGTATCGCGACATGGAGAAAATGCAGGAGGACAACAATCACATGCGGGAGGAGATTGAATCCTGGCACTCGAAATACCTGGCGCTCAAGAAATTCGCCCAGGAAAAGAAGATCATTATTCCGTCCGACTTGGAAAACATGTAGAGCAGTTAGATATATATGTATATCGATCGGCGCGCACATTTATGCGTATAAATGTGTGGGTACGCTACAAATAGATTTAACGATAGATTGGTTTCGTGCCGCAATCGTTTCCAAACTTCTCTGACCTTTTTTTTCCATAGAAAAGGCTTCATTTTGTACATACAAGTTAGAAGTGAAATTATACTCTTAAGTACTTTAAATTATATAATGTTGCTATATAAAATATTTGACGATATAACATGTAACAGCGTAGGAAATATTGTAAGAGCGTCGAGTTTCACGGGACAAAGGCAATACGGTGGTTTTTTTTTCCATTGCTTTTTCATGTATCTTAACTTTCGGTACATAATAAATGTATTAATCTGCCGACTACGTGAACGTTGATTGAATTTCCCAGCAGCCGGTATCTCTGCCTGTCCGTGATGTGCTCTGGAAACTGGAAGTCTTCCGGGAAGCACATCAACCGGCACACCTCCTTGGGCGAGAAGAACCTGAGCTTCAGGTCGGCCAAGATCCGCGTCTTCTCGTCCGAGTCGGTCTCGCGGCCGACCTCGTTATACCTCAATAGGACTGTCTCGTCTGTGAACGGACAGTACACAGATCCCGTACCCTCCACGTAATGGCCGTACCCTTTGGTGAAGCAACAGGAGCCACTGCTCTCGGACGTTCGTATATCTAACACCTGCGATCTCTTTTGCAACACTTCGGGGGGCAGCAGGTACCTCGGGTCCTCGACACGTTCCAAAATGCTGGCCAATGTGTAACACAATCTACCGGATCTCGGATTAATCTTGCCCCTCTTCTCCGCTAATACCGAGTGCCTGCTTTTCGGCAGCGAGTCCAACGATTCAGGCGGCGGCGAATCCTCGTCCCCCAGCGAGGGCTGTGCGAAACGGAATTTCAGATTATTTCGTTTCGCCAGTAAATAATATCTCGTCCTACTGTTCGGTACACCAAATTGACACGGGCTCAGTATCAATTCTCTGTACGTGTATCCGCAACTCTCGATGCAATCCACTAGCTCGCGCCTCATTCGAGACGTTTCGAAGCCTCTAACGTTCTCGAGCAAGATGTACTTTAAGTCTCGCAATTCTGGTATCAGGTTCAAGATGTGCTGCAAGGAGCAGGTCCTGTTATCAAGCGTGTCCTTCCTCAGTCCTGTTCTAGTGAAAGGCTGACACGGGGGGCTCATGAGTATAACATCTATATCCAGCTTGTTCAATTCCTGCGCAGTGACGGACTGTATGTTCCTGTTCATAAGAGCGACTTCTGGAAAATTGTGACGGTAAACGTCGTTGGCAACGGGGTTTATGTCGACTGCCGCGACGACTCTCGCCGCAACTCCGCTCTCTGAAATGATACACGTGCACGATGAGGAACGAGTGGACATTACAGATTAATTTAATGTCGATCTCAGACCGGTATTCATAGTCAGATCTTACATTCAAGACCGTCTTGAAGTTGTCTAAAGATCCTGTATGGAACATTTCGTTGGCTAGTATCTAAAGATGATCTTAAATCTTGAATACAAGGTGCTAAAAATGAACAGCTTCGTCTCGTTCCAGCCGTTCCCTTAGAAAGAGACAAAGCCGCTCACTTTTAGCATGTTTACTGTAGTGTAAGAAACAGAATTGACCGCCTGACTATAAATCCCAGCTGTAATATACGATTGATAATTTACCCTGGAGCGCATAATGCATTCCTCCAATGCCACTGTACAGCTCTAGCACCTTCATTATTAGCGGCCTGCTCCAAGTGATTCATAGAAAAAGAATTGATACATGTTACACATTGCACTTGTGTGTGACGTAAACACGCGATTCTCGGCTATTTTCTATTACGCCTGCATCACACCAGCGGCTCCACTTCTTGTGACCGGAGCGTAGTTGATCACACAGTTTTCCCACTGGAAAAACAGCACCAGCGCTGTGCTAGGTTTTCATCAAAGTAATAATAGTATAAAATAATAACGCATTGTTATTTCAAATAAATAATAAAGTTTCTTCTTTTGATATTGAATGCGTGGGGGGAAAAAAATGATGTTAAATCAGTAAAGAGTAAAATTATGCCTCTTGTGGAAATGTTTTACTGAAAATATAATGAAACTTTATTATTTTCATTATATATGCCTCGGTGGCCTAGAGTGAAGGGAGGTCCAGGTTCAAACCCTGGCTGAGGTAATATTTTTCGCAGTAAACTTTCTGTGTTAAAAACACACCGCCAGTCACGGTCGATCAACCAATCATGTTAGTGAAATTTTATCAAAGTGAATTCCAAGTTTTCTCTCGCTTGATTCTATTTCATTATAATTTCACTATATATAATAATATACATCCGTTTAATTGCTATTGTCCATTTTTATAACTTCACCTGTAATAGTAAAAGCACACATGTAAAACAAACAGTATGTTTATTAAAAATTAAGCCGATTAGAAAAATGTTAATGTCATACCTTAACGTAATATTACATGGTCTTCCACCGTCTTTAAAGACAGTGGAGAAAAAGTTGTATGTACCAAGTGCAAGTTTGTCAGTAGAATATTAAATACTGAAAATACATGAAAACTGATTTTCACAGTGGAAATTGCACTCGGTGTTGCACAACTTTTTCCAGTGGAAAACTCTACTAATCGAAAGGGGCTGGTGTGACACGAGCATTATGCGGCCTAACTTTAATCTGAATTGAACGTACCCTTTATCTAGTTTCTTTTTTTGTTCTAAGAATTGGAAGAGGAGACGTAGTTGAAATTGTTCCAATTCTTCAAACTTAACAAGCGAGGTGAAAAATAAATTAAATCGAAAGTTGATTTACAGTCGGCAGGAAATGGGCGTTAAAGCTAGAAAGAAACGAAACCGAGTCGAACCGAGACCAAGGTTAATCGTTTGACGGGAGAAGCGAACGTTAGCCCGGCCACGCAGTGGTCCACGACCCAGACGTTAACCGAACCTAACCTTTAACCCCAACCTAACCAAATCCGACCTCGGGCGTTCGCAATTCAGTCGTGATCTCCGTCGTAATGGGAGTCGAATCAAGCTGGATTCTGTTTTGCGTCGAGTAACTCGAACGATCGATAAAATGGCTCGGCCGAACGGGCGGGATTGACGTGTCGACGGGTTTAAAGACCATGAGCGGGCGCTCGGCGCGCGTTTAACAAATAGCCGACGACTCGCGCACGGTGATCGGGATCTTAACCTGACTGGTGGCGATTTGAAATGTAAAGGTCCGTCGTGCTCCAGACGGTCATGCGGTTCACGCGGCTGGTTCGCACAGCGGGCACGGGCTCGACGGTGGGGCATGCCTGCACGAGGATCGTCGCGTGAGGGAGAGACGTTCACTCGCTGGAGCAGGTAGGGCTTGGATGGAACGCGGGCGCGGGCACGGCCCGTTGGAGATTGCCGAAGATGTTTCGCAGCCGGAGCTGGTTCGGCGGCGGCCTCTGGAAGCCCAAGAACCCACATTCCCCGGAGCACCTCAAGTACGTTGATTGAACGAGGATGCGTAGCCGCGTCGCCGGCGAGCCCTGCTCACAATGCGTTTGTTTGCGTTTGCCCCCCCAGGTACCTGTACAACGTCTTGTCGAAGAATCAGACCGTGTCGGAGAACAACAGGGGTTTGCTGGTCGAAACTCTGCGCTCGATAGCCGAGATTCTCATATGGGGCGATCAAAACGACAGCAGCGTATTCGAGTGAGTGGAGATAACAGTGCCCGTAGAATTGGCAAACGATACAGTTTTAAAATCTGATAGCTAATATCTTGCTCGAGCTATAGGGACGTGACTAACATGGTGTGTTACGTATTTGCAGCTTTTTCCTGGAGAAGAACATGCTGTCGTTCTTCCTGCGTATTATGAAGCAGAAATGCGGAAGCTACGTGTGCGTCCAATTGCTGCAAACGTTGAACATTTTGTTTGAGAACATACGCAACGAGACATCCTTGTGTGAGTCTTGTGCCAACTGTCTTGCCAAGCGACTTCCCGAGTGACCGACTTTGCGAAATCTCTCTCTGCTTTCAGATTATCTGCTAAGTAACAATCACGTAAACAGTATAATAGTGCACAAATTTGACTTCAGCGACGAAGAAGTGATGGCGTACTACATCAGTTTCTTAAAGACGCTGAGTCTGAAATTAAACGCACATACTATTCATTTCTTCTATAACGAGGTAAACGAGGTACACACGTATGACATTCTGTGCTTGCTCCTTAATCATAGCTTGTGTTGGTTGTCGAAATAATTGCTAAAGAGATACATATGTGTAATGAAACGCGTACAGACACGTCCGCATTGGTGTCCACTAAGATGCGCTGCTTCCGACCAAATTGTAACGGCTTTCTGTCTGTCGCTAGCATACCAATGATTTCCCGCTGTACACAGAAGCAATCAAATTTTTCAATCATTCGGAAGGCATGGTGCGCATAGCCGTGAGAACTCTGACGCTGAATGTGTATCGCGTCGAGGACGCGTCCATGCTGGCCTTCATAAGAGATCGCACGGCCGCGCCGTATTTCAGCAATCTCGTGTGGTTTATCGGCGATCACATTATAGAACTGGACACCTGTGTCCGTAACGATGCCGAGTGAGTATCTCGATGTTAAAACGTCCCCCTCTGTTACCGACAAGATGCCCTTCTTCCTTCCAGTCATCAGAGTCAGAACAGGCTGTCGGATCTAGTCGCGGAGCATTTGGACCATCTGCATTATCTAAATGACATTTTGTGTTTGAACATACCGGACTTGAATAAGGTTCTGTCGGAACATTTATTGCATAAGCTGTTAATCCCGTTGTACGTATATTCTCTGATGAAATACAAAAACACTTTGTGCCAAACTCAGGTGAGGAAATCACAAATTCTCAGTCTCCTTTGTCATATAGGAATAATTACACGAGTTAATTTGAATTTCCAGGAAGAGAGAAAACATGTCAGCGTTGTGGTGGCGCTTTTTCTACTTTCTCAAGTCTTTTTGATAGTATCGCACGGACCTCTTGTACATACGTTAGCAGCCGTGATGCTCATGTCCGATTTAGAGGCGCTTCAAACTGGGACTAATAGAATTCTGGAAAAATTCGTGGACGTAACGTCGAATAAGTTCGTCACTTTTTCACCGCCGAAAGAAACGTTGAAGAAGTCTTTGGATGCTCTAAATAAAACGCGCTCAACGTCCGAAGAATCTTACGCTCGAGAAGACGGTATAGGAGACACAGAGGAAGTGGACAGACATGCAAGTGACGAGTTGCAAGAGTTTGATCATCCAAGTACATCTTTTGACGACGCTTCTACCCCTGTAAATACTCCCGATCTTATAAGTACACCTCTGAATACAAGCGTTCCGAGCGAAGAGGATTTAGAGGAAATTAAGCAATTGAATGTGACGGATGAGGAGAAGGAGCAACGCCTGGCATTGGAGAGCCCCTTGATGCCCCACCAAAGTCAAAGTGACATGTTCGAGTCTTTAGCGAAGAAACCATTTCTAGAAACAATAACCAATTCCTTATTATGCACAGAGAATGATTATGCTGCATTATTCGCACTTTGTCTGCTATACGCATTAGCTAATAATCAGGTAACCGTTGCAGATTCTGATAAAGGCCCATCTTATTCCCAATTATTTTGCATAATAATAAGTTGATTCTGTTATTTGCCAGGGTATAAGTCATAAAATTCTGAATATAATCTTGTCTCCATTCCATAATGATACGTCGACGAAAAATTCTTACAATGAATTGCTCATGGACAGGTTGATTCATATTGTAACTTTGAGTTGTCAAACAAGTAAGTCGTGTTAACATTTCTCCAATGAGAAATCGATATTTTTCGTTGTACGCGAATTTAACGTTTAACGCATCGCACATCAAGTTCATAAGAAATATAAATTTTTTGTCAGATTCCAAAGTGAGACTCATTACATTGGAGTTAACTGTCAAACTGCTAACGCAACTGACGGTATCCGAAGGACAGTGCCTGTTACGGGAATCGCATCTAGCAGTTATTGAAGCGGCGAAAGAACAAAGTACATCTCTGCTGAAAAACTTTTACAAGGTGTGTGCACTATTAAAATGCGACCAAGATACGCCCGCGCAAATTTTGCCTTGCCTCTTTAACGCGTTTTGTGAAAACTATGTTAATTTACTTTCACAGAGCGAAGATATTTTTTTGGACATGTTTGAGGACGAATATAGCGAAATCCAAAAGCGACCGTTAAATGTCGAATGGTTAATGATGGATAGCAATATTTTGTTGCCTCCTACAGGCACACCTATGACTGGAATTGAATTTAGCAAAAGGCTGCCGTGTGGTGAGGTAGATAGAAATAGAAAGAAACAAACTTTGGATAATATATGAGAGGTAACGTCATAATTTATGATAAAAGAATAACATCGTAAATGAATTGCATAGGTGGAAAGGGCACGTCGTGCGATAAGAGTTTTCTTCTTGATAAGAGAGCTATCTCTGACGCTCAATATGGAAGTGGAAACACAATTACCGCTGACTAATCCGGCTAATTGCGTACAAGTCAACAACGTTCTCGATCTAAGTAAAAATGAATTACCTTATACATGTAGTTAAATACTCAAAAAGTTAATCTGTTACGGATATTTTATGTGCAATATTTCGCTCATTTGTTTACTTGTGATTATAAGTAAAATTAGATAAACGTAAAATTTGCTACTTACAATTTTGTCTACAGATAACAGCGATTTGATCGCGTGCACTGTCGTGTGGAAGGACGGGCAGAAAATTCGCCGTTTCTTAGTTATTGACGTTGTGCAGCTGATTCTTGTGGAGCCCGATATCAGTAAACTCGGATGGGGTGTTGCAAAGTTGGTTGGTTTTCTACAAGACATTGACGTGGCCGGTGACAAGGATGATTCAAGATGTTTATATCTGACAATTTACAAACCGTTAAGCAGCAGTTCGGGCAATCGTATACCGTTGCTGTCAGCTAAATTCATTTTCGATGATCACATTCGATGCATGGCAGCTAAACAAAGGTTGGTTTCGTAATAAATTTCGAGCGAAAAAATCGTATTTATTATCATATAGTTAATAAAATCGATCGAATAATAATTTAGGCTGACAAAGGGGCGAATAAAAGCCAGACAAAAGAAGATGAGTCAGATCGCAAGATTGCTGGATATCCCGACGAATATCCCTCATTGTTCGACACCACCGAATTATGCCTTGCGTAGCTTACGACATGAACGTAAGTTTAAGGCTGAAATCAATCGGCAGAATCTTTGTGAATAAACGATTCAATTTCTTTTTCTAGGTGTAGGCGGACGTAGTCAGAGACCGCAAAGGGATCAAGCGAGGCCGATGTTCACGGTAAACAAAGTTCCTGGATTCGCGGCTCAAATGCGTAGGGAGAATATCAGGCCGGTAGCGTCGTCGAGTTCCAAACGCGACGATGCCAGTTCGAACGAGAAGATTCACGAAAATGGCTTGCGATCTAGAGACGGTTCGCCCAAGATGCCAAGGCCGCGGAGCGAGGAGATTCCCCTGGAGGACATGCGTATTCGGAAAGCTTCGCTTACATCCAACGGGCTGAACGTGGCGCACATATGTCCAGAAAGGAGGGACAGCCAAGGTGCCTGCTCGAATAGCAGCGAGTCCTCGTCTGTAATTAGAAAACGCTCTGAAGAAACGTCGTTCACGTCTCCGCAGGGGCAAGAATCAAAGCCACGTAGGAAGGGTCAAGTGGAAACTGTGTGATTAAAACAGTTCAGTTTAGCTCGGCGAACTAGTAATTCAAACTAAACGTATCTTTTAAATGACTTTGGAGAATGGTTGGAAATGCGTACATGCCATACTTTTGAGTTAGCGAAAAAGAGTCTGCTTGACTAATTTAACAAAGAAAATTTTTAGCGTAAATATTTTATCTTATAACTGGTAGAACTGTAATTTTCATGATATTTTTATCAACTATATGTGATGGTAATAGCAATGGAATTTTTTAATGAAAGCTCTTGTGACTAACACAGAAAAAAGGTAAGGAGATGGAAGTTATCAAATAACACTGTTGAATCATTGTTACACTTTCCTTTGTGTTAGACATCACTGAGGTCCTTATCTATACAGGCACCTCGTGTTTTAATTTAAATAAAATCTATTCTCGCTACTTGATATAAATATCACTTTAACGATAAAGAAATCGCGCAAAAATTCTCGTAATTATTTCACATTTGTGTGTATATATATACATATATCTGTTTTGAGGAGGTTAGTTTTTCTATAATTTAAAGAATACAGGAAATTACAATCTTTCGACGGTATTAATCATTTATACTCATATCTAAAATAGATTCTTGAAAATCTCATGTGAATGACTGTAAAGCATAAGACTTAAATACTTAAGAATTGAATATAAAAATATACACTAAATGAATTGTTGTATTAGAAACTGTGTCTTTATTTCATATATTGAAGCATATCCTGTATATATATATATATATATATATATAGTTATATATTTATTATAAACGAATTTGTTTTAAAGAACAGCAGCAAACAGTTTTGGTATTGTAAATTGCACAATTGCATGTATATAAAACTAACCGGATTCATATCTCTTCTATTCTGCTAATATTCCTTTACATACATATTCGTATTTTATTCTGTTCTAATACATTTCTTAAAAACAGTATTACGACAATAACCAACAAATGCGTAATTATGGCTTTATTGCCAGAATTTCATTCGGTAAAATAAGCAATTATTTATCTTAACTTTGTTATGTTCTAATTTAGAAAGAAAAGTAAAACTTGTTTTTCTATTTTAAATATATTACACGTAATATTCAATTTATTCAATCGAAAGAAATTAGCTCGGCCGTTCTAGGTTTTGTATCTTCTGCGACTTGCGAAGTTTCGTTAGTTGTAGCCTGGACTGGAGGAGCAGGTTGAAATGGCATCGACTGTGCGGCAGGAATCTGGGCCATTCCTTGCATCGCTGGTACACCGGCCGTTTGGGGGCCAGGTAATGTTTGACTCGTTGCAGGAACAGGTCCGCTGTTAGCTCCGGCAGGCACTTGAATGACACCCGAAGGGGGTTGGGACGAAATAGCAGTATTGGGGATATGCGTCGATATTGAGGATCCTTGGGCACCAGGCAATGTAGGCGGTTGTTGCGACGCTATCTGTGGTGGCAGGCCAACCACGGCGCCGGCGGGTACATGACTACCCGAAACTACCGGACCCGATGAAGGGCCCATGTGCCCTGGAGGTATCTGAGGCAGTCCGATTTGAGTCGGAGGAGGAGCCTGCTGCGGAATTTGGGACGGAGCGCCTTGTTGAGGTGATATATGTCTGCCTGCTTGAGCCTGTCCAGGCGGCACGTGTACCGCGGGACCTTGTTGGGATCCCATCTGATGATTGCTCGGTGGCTGCAGCTGTTGAATAGGTGTCATTTGAGGCGGCATCTAAAAAGAGTAATATTCATACTCGAGTTCTATCGATAACAGGACCGACAAAGACGTTTAAAAGCTCGCCTAGACCTACCATTCCAGGACCCGATATAGACACGCGGCCTATATTCTCCTGCCCTTGGATAGATGGATCTGGCGATTGTTGTTCCGGATTAGGAAGCGATTGCATCATGTGCACTGGCAAAGTATTCATCGGCGGCATGTTATAACCCTGCATAGGATACTGACTCATGGCTGGCTGTCCATACATATAAACTCCTTGATTCGTGGGTGACATAGGATTGTAATTAGCTCCAGGAGTCGGATAGTGAACATGACGAACGGGCGAGCCTTGAGAAGGTCCCATAAAATCTGAAACCGCTTGATAACCTCCTGTAAAAATAAGTAGATATGAATTTTTAATGAAGACAAAGTAGATTGATAAGTGCGCAAGTAGCAAAATTAGAAATTACCCATTATATATTGCTGTTTCTGTTGCTCTTGGCGCATCTGCATTTCCCTTTCTTGCTCTTGAATCTTTCGTAATGCTAATTGGCGTTGGTACTGCAAGTATTCCTGCTTCTTCTTTCGCATGATTGCCAGTTTTTGTGCCATCAGCAACTGCCGCTGTCTCTCAGCTTCTTCCGCCCTTCTGCGCAATTTCTCTTTGTGCTCCTCTCGGAGCGCGTCCAAAGCGGCTCTGGCATCTTTCATCTGAGTTAATTTATCTTGCAAACCTTCGTAATACACTCTGCTGTCATCCTGTTCCTGGATATATCTTAATAATCTAAAAAAAAACTCATTATTTTTCTACGATCAAGATAAACAATCTAATATATCGCAAAAATAAGATTAACGGTTTAAGCTTGAATATACCTGGAATGCATAGTTGTTATATTCATAAATAAAGTCTGAACTGAACTATCATTGGCGATCGATCTGCCTCGCGAGGAGTTGCTTTTCATCCTGTTTACGAAGATTTCAACCTGAGATCTTAAACCACCTACAAATTCTTCCATTTGAGTATTGATCTCGCCATTTTCCTGCTTTATTATTACAAGTTTTTGGGGCATCGGACTGCTTATGTTAGGGGCAGATGGACTAGTCACATCTACTCTTGATCCATGCTCCTCATTTACAGTCTGCCTTTGTTCCCAATACTTGCGATTTAGATATTTAGCAAGCTCAGGTTCGATCTCGTCATCATCTTGTACCTGTGACGGGCTGGGACCCTAGAAAAAAACTTAGACTTTGTATCGAGAGTGATACGCTTCATGGAAAACATTAAAATAGTAATAAATTAGAAATTCAATATAATAAGATAATTTCTTGATAAATAACAAATTCAATAGGAATCGCGAAAAACTTACAGGTGATGGTGGTGGAGAATATGTTGCTCTAGATATGGGGGTTGGATTGGATTTTAAAACGCTTGTAGTACGTTTCTTTTCCTTTTCCTTTTGTTCAGCTTCACTCTGACTTAAGGCTATCGCCAGATTTAATTCTTCCTCTTCTCGCAGCTCCTCTTCTGTTTTTCGAGCTGGGACCTATAACAAGATAAACATAAAATATTATAAACATATGTATAAATAAATGCGTCAGAATTTAAGCAAAAATTACTTTCGAGAAAAATCTGTCTATTAAATTTAGTATCTTCGTAACATAATAATGTAGTTATATACACGTATGATGATGTAGGTGATATGAAATTTCATCATTTGGTCCATAATGCAATATTTATGACATTATACATTTCTTATATTATTTTGAATTATCTTTATACATGTAATTACTTTAAAGAACGAACAAAAGTACCTGCATGCAAGACACTGGAGAAGCCATGTTTAATTACTAATTTGATTATAAATGAGTAGTCTTGAATGTATAGTATGTTCCACCTAACTTAGCATCTTACAATAGTACAAGTGCAATATAGTGGTGATACTTTTTTTATATGTAAAGACACGAAGGAGGCTTCTAACTATTGAGATTTTAATTATTTTAGTACTTTTATAAGTATTTGTACGGAATAACTGGATATCAAGTAAGAAATATTTATTTAAAAAATTTGAATTGCCTTTGAAATCTTTTATTTCCATGTAGCAATGAAAGCATTGCCATTACGTTATATATCTCTCAAAATCGTAAAATTGTAGCTTTTCTCCTAGTATTTAGAGCAGTAAAGATATTTAAGATACGCAAATTAGGTGAGAGTCTGTAATGCGATAATCTTCAGATCATTCAATTTGAAAAAAACCAATTTGATTGTAATTTATATAAAAAAAGAATTATTGTTTTATATGACATTTATACATAATGTTATTGTTATTACAATAGATTTACTATTCAGTAAAGCACTTACCTGTGTCTGCTGAGCCAAAGAGCTTTTGAGATACTCCGTTGGAAGGTCGGTATCTTTGGTTTGCGTTGCAGATGGCCTGAAAAACTGCGACGTTTAAAAACAGTCCGAACAATATGAATCCCGATGAAAGGAAATAAGGAGTTTCACCGACTTGTTAACTTGCTCGTAGCAAGCCTCGCAAACTCGCACTTCTTTCTCAATTCCGAATTTCGGCAGGGTAGAGACCTTACTCGAACACTGGCCGCAAAAGACCTGGCCGCACGCTCTGCAGTGATGCTTCCGTTGGACCATGCCGAAAGTCACGCGGCACCGATGGCACACCTCGCCATCCGCCCATGCGGGCGCGGTGTCCGCTCTAAACATAGCGTCGCTCTCTTTCAATGCAGGAAACTGATGCAGGAAACCCTCGGCTTTCATTATATTTAATGTGTCCTGAAAGAAATAAGTGCAGCCGGTTAGAAAGGTAAAATGGACAGATAAAATCAGATACTGATAATTGAGTTGTAAGTAGCAGCGATGGATCACCTGAACTGTTCTATATTTGGGACTGTGACGAAATGCGTGAGCCCAAGCCTGTATGAGCTCCAAAGTTTTTAGTCTGACGTTCTCGTGCGGAGAGGTTTTAACCAACTCCTTCAATTGCTCCATGTACTGCTTGGTAGCTATCTCATCGTGAATCAACGCCCCACAATTCTTCACGCAAGACTCCAGTACCTGAGCGCGAACGTTAATAAATGTAAAAATAGCAAATCTACCGATTCTTTTCTTTTTTAATCACGTTATCTCTTACCAGTAAGGCGTACAGCGCTACATGCGGATTAGGGTTTATCATCTTCTTTTTTATAGCGGCGAGTGCAGCTTTCGGTCTAAACATTGAAAAACGTTGTAGGAGCGAACAATGGCAATAACAGATCTTAATACGAGTCTTCCAATGTGGAATATAATCGACAATGTGTCATCGTGCCCCCAGTTATACGGCAGAAGAAGTACGAAAGCGTGCTTTTTACAAAAGAAAATCGTGCTTACTGAACATCGCTCTGACGTATGAGATCACAAATCTGCAGAATCGCAGGCCAGTCCGGTTCCAACTGCAGATGACTCGTTGCCCTTTCTACGAGCGATTAAATGACGGCTTAGAAAGCTCCGACATTTTGGACGGATTTCAAAGAAGCTCACCTAATAACTTATCAAAATTCGTCGAGCTGCGAAACATCTTGGGACCCTTGGACGAAACTCGCACTACGCCTGCCCGAAGCTCTCGACCACGTATACGCGAACGACGATCCGTACTCGGCAATCCGTCCGTGACATCCACAGCGCAACTTTGACAATCTACCTCCTCCTCTTGCTCGCGTTTAGTCTCGTTCTCCCCTCTCCCGAGTGTTTACAAGATATGACTGAGTCACGGAAGTCGATCGCTCTTATCGACTAATCGACTCCCAAAGTTTATCGACATCCAACAGGCTTTCATCGAACGTTTGAATACAAGTCTGTTCTTTTTAGCTGAACTGTGGCTGCACTAGTTTAAGCCAACGGCACACGATACTATTTTTCCTACTGGATTCCTAAGTCCCAGTCTACAATAGAGATTTAAGCCCTAAGCCTTAAGAAATTGACTAATCACAGTCGCGCATTCTCCTCATACTTGACCGTGATTGGCCAATTTCTTAAAGCTTAGGGCTTAAATCATCTATTGTAGACTGGGACTAAAGCCTCCGCTACAATGATTCTCGGTTCTGTCTACAATGGTCGTAGTCGTAAGAATAAGGCTGGGTCTACATTGGATGTCGTAAGTCGTGTCGGAAGAAATTGACCAATCACAGTTCATTATTCTCCTTACGGTTGAAGAATAATGAACTGTGATTGGTCAATTTTTTCCGACACGACTTACTACATCCTATGTAGACCCAGCCTAATCGACTGCGATTGGTCAATTCTTATGCGTCT